TCAACGAGGTAACGAAAGGGGTTGTGAATGCCATCGATAATGGACATTCATTTGTTCAACGTTTCATTCTGGTATTTGAGGTCATTAGATCGATTTGGTAAGCCTTATTCACCGTACTAGGCAACATCACCTGTCCTTCTCGTCATCAACACACATAAGAGATTGCATGCGTTAATGACGAATCAACATGTGTACATACATTCATATAATGCTCTCGATCATCCCCACTCGACATAAATCTACTCTTTCCTTATTCAACTTCCAAATCTGACCTGTTCTAGTTTTACCTCTTCGTAGCTCTTACATAGCAAACCAAATTCATCTGGCCTGTCGTCAGCTGTCTTTTTGAATCAAAAATTATCTTAATATTAAAGCAGAATGTAATTGTCCATGAAGAGTAGACACTCTTCATCTTTTCAGTTGGCGATCACCCGTTGATCCAACACTTACTCGAGTGCATTTGGTGATTGATACTATAGAATGCGATTGGTGACTGATACTATAGAGTGTGAACACTATAGAATGCGACAGAATTATCAGTGATTACGTATACTCGGAAAGCATCATTACCCAATAATTTTATGCTACCATCATACTATTTAAATGGCAATTCAGTATCTTTTACACTGGGACACATCAATAAATAAGAAACATTATTAATGATAATGAGGAAGTCTCATCATTTAACAACAATTTCAATCATTATTATTATCATTTGAAACACTTCGACTCATTTATAAATCAGTTCTCAATCAACTAAAACTTAGTTGTAGCTGATTGAGACTGAATTCCCAATAACACCGACAGAAAAAGTGAATAGATCAGCAGGAACGAAATGTGGAATGAGAAAATGCTTCGGATTCTTTGAAGGGTACGCTGAACTTCAATTATTCCCGGTTGTGAAAATTGATGCTAGAGAAGAAAAAGTATATGAATAAAAACAAAAATGGAAATGGTCAGTGAGGCAAATGATTGCTTGAATGATGTTAGGGAGTGATGTTATCGTCAGATCGTGCAATGAAAACGACATCATAAAAGAATCGTAATGAATGTACAGTTGCACTCTCATTTCAAACCAACAATAATCGCACATCGAACTGAATCAATTATACAAAGCAACAATGAGATATATTCAGAGTAATAATATCAATTATGCAAATCACAACTCAAATCAAATTACCAGTAATAACTTCAATACCATTCATCCAATGCTGAATGTAAACACTAATTATACATCAAAATAAATAAAAAAATTATGCGGATGTGGGTTCTCTCCACAAATTCAGATCAATTTGTGATAGTTTCGAGCAAGGTGTTAAAGAGGGATGTGGCAGTAAGAAGGCATCTTCTGAGATCATCTCGTAACGATCACCGTTGTTACAAATCACTCGTGACATTGTCGCTTTTTTTAATTCATTCACTTGTTCTGCGGTGAATATTCCCGGATTTTCGAAATAAAACCTGAAATTTGCGCTCGTTAACTACTGAAATCTACTGAAATACTGAAATGAAATCTACTGAATCTACTGAAATCTCGTGTTTTCAAGACTGAACATTAAAGCAACTAAATGATTCATGACGTTACTGCAAATGAAGGAGCAACAAAACAACTACTACACACAGCTAAACATACGCTAACCTATCTCCATCTCGGAGTCGTTTAAATTGATCACCAATGAGACATGCTAATGTCTGCCCAACTAATCCACCAACGACAGGATCTTCAACCATCGATCCAATATACAAGTCGACATCATCTCAAATACAACTTGTAACGTATCAAATTAACTACTCCTAAAATAAACAAGTAACGACCAAAGCAATAATCAGCGAACCAGGTGTTTTGAAGTTCCTTGCTAAAGCGGCTCGAATATTTTTGTCCAGCACTTCATTTTTCAATCCCTCGAAGTCATGCGCATTTGGCATGCCACAAAACATTCTCCATTTATTATACGACGGTAAACCGTGATCTCTTCCCCGTTGAATATTCACTGAACCAAGATCGGTACTGAAATCACATATTTAATCATCAATTGCAAACACTCAGTCTAACGATAAGATTTCGACCGAAGTTTATGAATTGAGGCTCACTAGGGTTTGTGCTCATAGCGATTTGTGCAAACACTGTAACTGCGTGCGACACCGCGAAAT